AAATTGGCCCAGAAAGGCATAGCAACTTACCCAAAATTGCCTAGCGAGTGGACTTCCGGTGTGGCTCTGTGGGATTAGCATTAGACTGCAAACCACAAAGTTGTCAGTTCAAACCCACCAGCTGCTCCTCGAAAACCCTATACAGGTCAGAACCAACTCGACAGCACTTAACAACAACAACAACCCAGCTAGTAAGTGACAGAGCTGGATTTGGTCTCAGGCAGCCTGGATTCTGAGTTGTTGTTGTTAGTGCCCTTGAGTCGATTAAACACAGAGCAACCCTGAATAGGGTTTCTGAGAAGCAGCTGGTGCGCTTGACCATCAACCTTGCAGTTCAAACCGACTTTGCAGTCCAACACGTTAACGCCACAGTGCCACACCAGGACTCCAGGTCTTGAATAACTAATAGTAATTACAAGACGAGCCTGCTTCAGAGTTCTCAGCTGCCTCCTTAAAACCAACACCAAACCAAACCCATGGTTATTCAGTTGATTCTGACTCATAGCAACGCTACAGGGAAAAGCAGAACTGTCCCAAAGTGTTTCCAAAGGTGTAATCTTTACAGGGAGTCCTAGTGTGCTACTCTAGGATAAGCATGGGACTGCCAGTTGAAACCAACCAACCACTCCTCATATACCTGAGACAAGGTCGCTATGGATTAGAATCTTAACTATAACAACAGTCTGCTGTTACAGAAGCTGATTACTGTATTTCTCTCTCATGGATCAACTGATGGGTTTGAATCCATATTACAAAGATAAATAACTATTGGTTCTAGGGTGCAAATAATCAAAAGGTCAAACTGTACATGGAGAGAAAAGCAAACTTATCTGTGGGTGGTTCTCCCATAGATTCCTCAGAAAGGAAGGTAGTGATGGCTAAGGCCTAAACCACATCTTAAAATAGGTTTCCATTTGGGGAATGATAATTATCATTGTAAAAGATCATATGTACTGAATACTAACAGAGTAAGCAGCTGAATCATGTGACTATTAGCAGACTGGATCACCTGGTAGACTTAACTAAACACTTTTTGCTTACACAATAAACCCAAGAGAACGCTGGAGGTCTCTTGATCTGGACTGGCCTCTGTCCTCTACATCTTGAGTCCAAGGGTGCGAGACAGAGGCCAAGAGATTAAAACTGAAACAAATAGTCTATGGTACCAGTTCATCCTCATCATTGATCTTCAAAAGAGATGATTTAAAATTCTGGCAAGTCTGCTCACACCGATTCCAGGTTTTATTTTCAGTGGTAAAATAATAACAGGTTACTCCACAACAGGTCCACTTTTCTTCATCGAGTTTACCTACAATATATTAAGTAAATCATTACATCTCTTGCCATCTGATATTCCGTTAATCATAACAATATATGAGTTCTCCACAACAAAATGAAATATAAGAGCTATCGATAGTAATAATACAAGGCTCATTAAAATTCTGAAGTGCCTTCTAAATAAAAGAAACCAGTTTTGGGAATTATTTTCTTTTCCTCTTATAAATTTTATAAGATACGTAAGTTTTAAACTATTACTGATCCTTTAATAATAGAGATGAAAATTTTTACTAACTACCATTTGTTCTTGTTGTTAGGTGCCATCGAGTCGGTACCGACTCATAGCGACATTATGCATAGCAGAACCAAACACTACCCAATCGTGGGACAACCTCACTACTGTTGCCACACTTGAGTCCATCGATATGGCCACTAACTACCATACTCACATACTAATGAGACTAAGTATTCAGTCTCTAAATATGTAAACTCTAAATCCTAAACAAATATTTAATAGTTGTTGAGTAACCAGATCAATTCATTCAATCATCATGCAAAATAACAAAATTTAATATTTTTGCTCTTTGATATTTTAATTATATCATCACACAGAGTTGCACAAACAAAAGCCCTCTGACAAATCTTGTATATGCACTACAGAGAGAATATTCTCCTCACAAACCGATCTGAAATAAAGGAAAAATGGGAACGCACACACACACAATTATCTTAATGGTTAATCTGAATAAAAGTTACTGCTGCCCATTTTAGCGCAAGTATATTTTTACTGATATTGTCCATATTTCATGTCAGTAGCACAACTGTTGTTCTTAAGTGCCATCTAGTCAGTTCCAACTCATAGTGACCCTGTATAGGGTTTCCAATTAGCCGCTGGTGAGTTTGGACCACCAACCTGAAGTTCTAATGGACCTTAGAGTCCAGTGCTTATCCTACAGTGCCACAAAGGGAGTCTCTAATTTGCAAGAGAGTCAAACTGATCTGCATTCCAGGAGAGCTGACATACTATTTCACTTCAGAGAGCAGTAGGAATATAAGAACTTACCACTGAGTTTTTGAGAAGATAAAGGACTTACAAGTCCAAACATGACTGCTGCGTTTTCACCCCCAGGTTTGAAACAAGCAAGCTCCAGCATCCATATTACATGTAAATTAAAGTGCTACAGCAAACCTCTATTTCACTAAATGCATCATAAGTCTGCTTACAAGGTTTTAAGGCTTCTGAAGCAAGAAGAAATAATGCAAATTCTCACAACTGTTAATAAAAATATCATCCACACCTGTGTTTGGCAAACGCTTTGATGAGATTCCAGTTTTTCTATGGCAACTGTTCTTTTTAATATCAGATTCCACTTTCTGGTCCTTTAAGTAACTGCAATTTTGTACAGTGTGGTTACTTTGACTGAGGTTTCGTAGAATTTCATTCTGGTAATGTTTTTCTTGAATATACTGAAAAACTAAAATTAACAACATAGTACAAAAAGTAATCATAATGTTTAAATATTAAAATTTAAGATACAAGAGAAAAGTTCTCACTTTGTCAACAAACATATTTCATTACTTTAATTAGCAATATGACAAACAGAAATTAACACCTCAATAATTGGAGCTCTGGTAGCATAGTGGTTACGAATCGGGCTGCGAACCTTAAGGTCAGCGGTTCGAAACTACCAGCCGCTCCGCGGGAGAAAGATGAGGCTTTCTACTCCCGTAAAGATTTACACCTTCGAAAATCCTGTACAGGGTCACTATGGGTCGGAACCGACTCGACAGCACTTAACAACAACAACAATTGACCATAGAAATGGAAACAGTAAATTTATAAGTATTAGAAACTTCAGTGTATGATAAATAAAATGCTAAATAAAACTATGATGGCAATACCTTATCTTTCAGTTTAATTTATATCTAACAGCTTGTTTTTATCATTTACAAACATTTATCAATGAAAAAAGTAGTGAACTTTTAACAATACATGTGAATATGAACATGGAGACTAAGAAATCTGAAGTGATATCATAATTATTGCTGAAGCACATAGACTATCTGAGAAAAGAAAGCGAATAAGGTCTACATATATAATTTTACTTGCATGTAAGTTATTTTTTATTTTATTTAAAGTTATCAAAGTAATGAAATAAAAGTTGAAGCTTGAATTTAGGACCATGTGACATTCCTGATTAGAAAAACTAGAATGGAATAAACAACTAGTTGCGGTCAGGAAAATTTCAACTCCTGGCAACACATTGTGGGTCAGAGTAGAACTGTGCTCCACACGATTTTCAATGGCTGATTTTTAGAAGTAGATCACCAGGCCTTTTTTCCCAGGTACCTTCGGGTGACCTCCAACTGACAACATTTTGGCCAGTAGCCGATCCCATTTATTATTTGCACCACCCAGGATCCATTCTTATATAAAATCATTCTTTTTATTAAACCTCTTCTTAGAAATACCTAGACAAATTGAAGAGAAAGCCATAGTTTAAATTGAACAGGTGTTTCTCAAATCATGTTTTATTGAAGATTTACAAGAATCCAAACTCAGAAGGCAGAATATTATTAAGCCCTGTATCAGAAGAAATGTTACAAAAGGAGACCGCTCATCATAGCTGCAGTCAATGGAATGAGTAACTAAGAGGAAAATGACACTGTGATGTGATGGGGAAATCATCAACAAAGCCAGGAGCCACCTGAGACCTGTCTGATTGTAGCCACGGAAAAACGGGTGCAGAAGGGTTAAGTGCTGCGCAATTAGTAAGTACTGTCATTAAAGAGGCCAGAAGGATATATTTCAATTGTTGTTGTTGTTGTCAGGTGCCATCGAGTTGGAACTGACTCATCGCGACCCCATGCACAGCAGAATGAAACAATGTCCGATCCTGGGCCATTTCAATTACTCACTCTTTATCCCCAACACTGCAGCTGTCATCAACAGAAGCAAACAGAGGATCCCCAGAGTTACTGCAAGGAGACACCCAGACATTGAAAAGTTTTTAAATGCAAAACAAAGAAGACAATTATCAGCAAAAAAGTCTGGCTGACTCTGAAACTTAACCTGGGGAACCAGGTGAATCAAAGATTTTTCTCTAAAAATTGTATTTATAGAAATATGATACATACCATACAAGTTGATTGGAATTTGTAATCTGAGAACTACAGTTTTAAAGTTTCACATTTCTAGCAGACAGACACATTATAAAAATTTTACATACAGGAACAGTGCGATAGAATCATAAGCATTTTCTTGTTGTTGGTAAGTGCCATGGAGTCAGTTCCAACTCATAGCGACCCTGTAACACGTTTCTAAGGAGCGGTCAATGGGTTTGAACCACCAATCTTGCAGTTAGTCCAGTGCTTATCCTACAGCACCACACCAGGACTCATCCCTTACAACTTCACAATTGTAACAGACCCAATAGACATTTATGAGAATCCACACAACCATGTGTACTTCTTCCTACGGCCACAACCAAGCCGAAAGAGGAAAGAAAAAGGCATCAATATTATTTTAGACATCAGGAGCAATGATGAGTCTCTGACTTGAAACTGAAGATATAATCAAAGTGCAGTCTTAAAAAAGTTTCTAGACAATAGTTTTCCCTACATTTCAATCAATAAAAATTAACTTCTAGGCAACACTATTTTTATCCTACTACTTTTAAGATCTTCAGCATCTGAAAAATATCTCTGATTATCATTAAATTAAATTAAATGTATTCTCAAATTAGAGTTAATAATATTAACATCAAATAATATTATATGTGAAGGTGGAGTATTTTGATCTGAATTCTTTCTGCTTCATTTGTCACTAAAATTATGGTAAATATTTAAGGTATTTAAAATACCTTTTGCAGGAGTGGGGAAGAAACAACATTGTACTTAACACATACGTTCTATTTCTTACACATTTCTTTTTATTTCTCTAGGAAATGTCATGTCTTTATGCGATTCTAACCTGTCTTTCTCTTTTTAATTCTTTGTTTTTCCTATTTTGAACAGCTTTTTTGAAGTATAAATGATATACAGTAAACTGGACATATTTTAAATGTACAATTTGATGCATATACTTTATTAATGATCTCTTGATTTTGCTTTTTAGCATATATATGTGTGTATAAATATGTATACACTGCCATCAAGTCAATTCAGACTCATAGCAACTTTATATAAACTCATTGCCCCCACGGAAGTTTCTTATCCAATCTTTTGAGATTCTGTTAGTTTGATTTTTGTGAAGTGCTGTTAAAGTGGTTCCAACTCCTAGCAACCCTAGCAAAGTGGTTTCTGAGGCTTTACGTTTTTGCTGGAGCAGAAAGCCTCATCTTTCTCCTGTGGAATGGCTGGAACTTTTAGTTCACAGTCCAGTGCTTACCCTATGTAGTCATTGGGTTCCCTTTTGACTCCATATAGATAGATCTTAAAAGAGCACAATGCTCAAAGTAGATATTATTTTTTTCATAATTAGGCTAAAACAAGTGTCTCGCTTAGAGACTTTAGGGAATATTTTTGGTTTAAGATTTAAAAAGTATCTTATGGGAGTTCCTCCAGGCTCCATAGCTCTGGAAATTCTGGATTCTATGAGAATTTGGAATTCTATTATGCATTTCTACCCTTCTCATCAGGATTCTTCTATAGAATCTTTGGTCAAAACATTCAGGAATTGTTGTCAGACACCATCAAGTTCTTCTGGTCTCATGGTAAAGGCAGCCGTTTTTCACGGAAACAATTAGCTTAACATTCCTTTTTTCCTTCTATTTCTGAATCGCCTATTTCTCCAGGTGTACAGACATCAATTGTACTTCAGATGAAATGAGCTACACAATAAACTAGGCACTACACAATGAACTAGAAGGATCACTAAACACAGTATTAGTCAATTAACTAGTGAATTCCATGAAACCATGACCCTATACCTCAAAACCAGGAAAACAAATCCTATGAGGTATTTGGTTGTGTAGTCCTGGTGTGGTGTTATAGGGTAAGCACTGGACTTCTAGCCACAAGATCAGCAATGCATACCCACCAGCTACCGCTTGGAAACCCTATATAAAATTGCTGTGAGTAAGAACTGACATGACCTCATTTATTAATAACAAAGTAGCGTTCATTAGTAACTGCACTTTAGGTTGCTGTGTTGCTGGATCTCTCTGTAGATGTAGGTCTCTCTGTAGATGTATCTATCACACGTTTGACAATTCAACTTTTTACAAGTGTGTAACTTAACAGCTGTTACAATGACCAACTGTACAGTCCTACTCTAATCAATGCCGTTTTTCTATCACTGTGAAATGAAATTACTTGTTCCATATTGTCCTTCACTTCGAAAGGCCTCACACATTTCTCTAGCCATCTTCTCAAATTTAAAAGAATTTATAAATTTCTCCATTCCCACAACTTTTAAAAAGAAGACTTCAATTCATCTATTTTACCTCATTATCATTTCATTTGACCAGCTGAGAATCTGATGACAAATAAGACATTCCCCACCCCCCAAATGTCAAAAGTTTGACAATCTATAAGAGACAGTAGATCCTTAGAACATATACCTTTGTCAACAATTTCCTCTGGCTTTTTAGTACGACCAGTTCTTAATCTATTCTGTGACTTTGAAGGGGACTGAAGAGATCGCAAAGCTGAAAAAGTCACTTCCTGATCGCTCATATCTGAAGTAAGAAGAGAAAAATGTTTTGTATTAAAACCTTGCAACAGGACTCTTTATAAGAATCAGAAAAATGTCAACCTATATGAACATACTAGGATTTGATGATGAGAAAAATATATGTGCGTGTATGTTTATTAATGTCCTAAAATGCCTCAAAATATAAACTGAACCTGACTTATTTAAGAAATGGAAAATTTTTCAACATTTCTGTGAACTTCAATTACATTCTTAATGCCCATTGCGAACATTATTACAAAATATGGAAAGCATTAAAAAAAATTATCAACAGATATTGTCTTAGTCATCCAGACTTTTTTATTAACAGTATTCAACAGGCATGTACAAATCTTAGGTAAAATTTGAATCATCCCAAATCACTGGAACACATTTAAAACTATCAATTCAAAAACCAAAAATAAATTTTACATTCAGAAACAACATAAATCTCCTGACTTCAACAAAAACTTTCATTAGAAAGAGCCTTATTTCTTTGCTTACTATACATGTTCTGGTAACATAGGAATATAAACAAAGTTCTCATGTTCTTTTTAGTTACTATATGAGGCAACTACAGTGTTTCTCAATGTTTTTCATAAGCCATGTGCAATAGAGGAACGCGAGACAATAACCTAACATTCCATAGTCTAGTGCCCCATGTAAGATGGCTAATCTATTAGGGTGGAGCCCAGATATTTATATTTTTTATCTCAAATAATTCTGTGTAGATTAAAGTTTAAGAAATAGTCTTCTTTGTGACATATTTTGAACTTTTTTAAATTCACAAAACATATTTATTCACATTTCCCAAAATATCCTAAGAGAAAAAGGGAGTCTTTTTCTACAGAATTCTTCACGGTATATGAGATAATTCATACATTGTTGAGTGCCATCAAGTTGCTTCTGACTAAGAGTGACCCTGTATAGGGTTTCCAAAGCTGGCTTCATGATGAGCACTGTACTGGGAACCACAAGGTCCATGGTTGGAGCCTGCTAGCCACTGTGCAGGAGGAAAACGAGGCTTTCTGCTCCCGCAAAGATTTAAAAAAGACTTGGAAACCCTATCCAGGGTCACTATGAGTTGGAACTGACTCAAGGCACTTAACAACAACAAATCTTTGTGGGAACAGAAACCCTTATCTTTCTCCCACACTATAAACACAATAAGAGCCAATAACAAGTAATCAATCTCCCAAACCCTCTTTATTTTAATACCACAAAGCAAAGATCATAGCAGGTTGAGAATGGAAAAATAACTTTGCTGAACTACAAACATTTTTTACATCCTTCAGAGATGATGCAGTTCTAATGCAACCAATAGACAATGTTTTCCCATCAATCTCTTTACTCTCACCAAATCATTCCTACCTTTTCTACAATTGTTCCTTCTAAGTAAGACAAATTGA